ACACATGTTGTTATTTCAGTCTGTGTGTTGTTTACATGAGATCTGACACATGTTGTTAGTTCAGTCTGTGTGTTGTTTACATGAGATCTGACACATGTTGTAATTTTGGTCTGTGTGTTGTTTACATGAGATCTGACACATGTTGTTATTTTGGTCTGTGTGTTGTTTACATGAGATCTGACACATGTTGTTATTTTGGTCTGTGTGTTGTTTACATGAGATCTGACACATGTTGTTATTTTGGTCTGTGTGTTGTTTACATGAGATCTGACACATGTTGTTATTTTGGTCTGTGTGTTGTTTACATGAGATCTGACACATGTTGTTATTTTGTTCTGTGTGTTGTTTACATGAGATCTGACACATGTTGTTATTTCAGTCTGTGTTTTGTTTACATGAGATCTGACACATGTTGTTATTTTGGTCTGTGTGTTGTTTACATGAGATCTGACACATGTTGTTATTTCAGTCTGTGTTTTGTTTACATGAGATCTGACACATGTTGTTATTTTGGTCTGTGTGTTGTTTACATGAGATCTGACACATGTTGTTATTTTGGTCTGTGTGTTGTTTACATGAGATCTGACACATGTTGTTATTTTGGTCTGTGTGTTGTTTACATGAGATCCGACACATGTTGTTATTTCAGTCTGTGTGTTGTTTACATGAGATCTGACACATGTTGTTATTTCAGTCTGTGTGTTGTTTACATGAGATCTGACACATGTTGTTAGTTCAGTCTGTGTGTTGTTTACATGAGATCTGACACATGTTGTTATTTTGGTCTGTGTGTTGTTTACATAAGATCTGACACATGTTGTTATTTTGGTCTGTGTGTTGTTTACATGAGATCTGACACATGTTGTTATTTTGGTCTGTGTGTTGTTTACATGAGATCTGACACATGTTGTTATTTCGGTCTGTGTGTTGTTTACATGAGATCTGACACATGTTGTTATTTCGGTCTGTGTGTTGTTTACATGAGATCTGACACATGTTGTTATTTTGGTCTGTGTGTTGTTTACATGAGATCTGACACATGTTGTTATTTTGGTCTGTGTGTTGTTTACATGAGATCTGACACATGTTGTTATTTTGGTCTGTGTTTTGTTTACATGAGATCTGACACATGTTGTTATTTTGGTCTGTGTGTTGTTTACATGAGATCTGACACATGTTGTTATTTTGGTCTGTGTGTTGTTTACATGAGATCTGACACATGTTGTTATTTCGGTCTGTGTGTTGTTTACATGAGATCTGACACATGTTGTTATTTTGGTCTGTGTGTTGTTTACATGAGATCTGACACATGTTGTTATTTTGGTCTGTGTGTTGTTTACATGAGATCTGACACATGTTGTTATTTTGGTCTGTGTGTTGTTTACATGAGATCTGACACATGTTGTTATTTCAGTCTGTGTGTTGTTTACATGAGATCTGACACATGTTGTTATTTCAGTCTGTGTGTTGTTTACATGAGATCTGACACATGTTGTTAGTTCAGTCTGTGTGTTGTTTACATGAGATCTGACACATGTTGTTATTTTGGTCTGTGTGTTGTTTACATGAGATCTGACACATGTTGTTATTTTGGTCTGTGTGTTGTTTACATGAGATCTGACACATGTTGTTATTTCAGTCTGTGTGTTGTTTACATGAGATCTGACACATGTTGTTATTTCAGTCTGTGTGTTGTTTACATGAGATCTGACACATGTTGTTATTTTGGTCTGTGTGTTGTTTACATGAGATCTGACACATGTTGTTATTTTGGTCTGTGTGTTGTTTACATGAGATCTGACACATGTTGTTATTTTGGTCTGTGTGTTGTTTACATGAGATCTGACACATGTTGTTATTTTGGTCTGTGTTTTGTTTACATGAGATCTGACACATGTTGTTATTTTGGTCTGTGTGTTGTTTACATGAGATCTGACACATGTTGTTATTTTGGTCTGTGTGTTGTTTACATGAGATCTGACACATGTTGTTATTTCAGTCTGTGTGTTGTTTACATGAGATCTGACACATGTTGTTATTTTGGTCTGTGTGTTGTTTACATGAGATCTGACACATGTTGTTATTTTGGTCTGTGTGTTGTTTACATGAGATCTGACACATGTTTTTATTTTGGTCTGTGTGTTGATATTTCAGTCTGTTATTTATATGGGATTTGATAGTTTGTTTTTGGTTTTGTATTATTGATTGTTCCAGGAAAAAGGTAATTTAAGGATGGTCTCTCTATGTATGCAAGCCAAGTTAGTTTTAAATTGCTTAATGTCATAACAGGAGCGAGGGTCATTTAAGGATGTCCTTTCAGTGTTCGTGAGATGAATGCATGCATACAGTGTAATTGGTTAGATGTCTGTTTGAAAAGCATGTTATGATAATAGATTCCATTATAGAGAGGTAAATTGAATGACTGTTGTTTTATGTTTAGAAATACTTGAGGCATTTTGTCCCTCTGAGAATACATGCAGTGTTAGCCATTCAGTTTCATTTGTAAAGATTACAAAAGACACACAAGAGAATATCACCTTTCAATAAGATTTAAGATGAAACGTTATAGCCAAATGCCAAATTAAACTGCATAATACCATAAATTTTGTATTTTTCAATCTATTTGATAATTTTCAGTCATGTCAAGTACATGTGTATATTTCAAATCGTATTTCTATCTTAATACAATATGATGAGGTGTTCCAGTTACAGCAGTGTGTCTACCACCAGTAATCTTTTACAGGATTTTTATATCACAGATTTCACCAGGTCATTTGCCTCACTTTGTGTTAACACCTTACCAACATGCAAGGCACAGCACATAAGTAGGACTAGAGCATGCAGGAAGTACTTTCACATTCAGAATGAGGCTTTACTTAGTGGGAGGTTTTTTCGTCCATGCTGCCAGGATATTTTAAGTGTAATTTTTTTTTCATCCAAGCTGGGAGGATATTTTGAGTGTAAGTCAGTTGTGCAGCTTCTTTTAACAGTTGTAAACTTTTAAATGTCTCAGCCCCAAGTCCAAGGACATTTTGACTGGTTTTTGTGATTTGTGATATAGGGTTGGTAGACTTATGGAATTCAGTTTTATTCCAATAAATGATATGTTTGCTTAAAAAAACATATATTATAGTTTGGACTTTCCCTGGCCTCATCCACCATACACCTTTAGAGCCATCAGCCTAAGGATTAGGGGATGGCTGCAGTATCTTGTCAGCCTCATATTCATCAAAGGCCATCAAGCGAAAATGTATCAAGAAATAATATGGACAAGTTTTCATTTTAGATAAAGTCATATGTTGTGTTACCATGGGAACAAAAAAAAATCCACATTTTTTTGGGAGTTCTTGAGCATTAATAGCTCAAATGTTTGAAATATTGTGTTCACTTTTCGAGATGATATCAAATTATGATTAAACCACACTTATAAAATCATCAGCATTTAAAAATTTATATCAAAATATACACTAGTATTAAGACAGGATCTTACCTTTGTGGTTTACGGTGATCAGATATCAAAATAATTATCCACAGGACCAGTGCTTTATAACTACATGCTATCATTATTGGTGTGTGTTAATCTGATGTTGACCAATTGTCCACTTCTAGCAGCCAGCTGAATTTGTAACAATTTTACACAGGTCATGGTCCCTTTATTTACCTCATATTATTGTTTCATTGGTTAAGATAAATAATAAAACTGTCCATCACTTTGTTCACAAGACAAATTATCAGTTAAGTGTATCAGCCTCCCAATGTGTTATAGGCCTTGTGAATGAGTGTTGGTTTTGTGGAGGTAATATAGAATAACCACAGTTATAGATGGAATGGTCAATATATCAAGTGTAGAAAAACAGCTGAGGTAGCACAAGGCTGTGGTCATCAATAGTTATAGTGTTATTATCTCAGGCTGTATGTTATCTGTCAACACTTGTGTGGTGTGGCCCAGTAAATTCTTCTCCATCACAAGCTCCACTAATTGTGTTAGGATAGTTCTTCTGTTGAATCCTCAGTAATTGTTGGACTTTCATCCTTCACATTTGATCACATCTGGGGATGACACTCAAGCTGGAGCTGTGAGATCCTGACAGACGTTTTCCATCAGCCAGGATAGCTTCCGTGATGGTTGTTAGTTTATATCACTGTTCCGATATTCAGCCTTAATAAACTAGAAGGGTCATGTCAGTCTGATTCCATCCACCTTACATCTTCTATGTTGTATGTTGTACTGTAAGGAAAACTCCTCCAGTCAATGCAATCTAACATTCTGACACAAAATGTCGTCTTCTCTTCATGTGAAAGTTGTCTGGTTTTAGGATTCTAAATTCCTACAAACTTTTAATTGATACACTTAATTGTCTGATGAGCAAAAATTAATATAAATAAAAGATTATACATATTTATGTTTGATCTGTAACATCAGACTTACTACAACATGTAACATCAGACTTACTACAACACGTACCAAACAATATTAAGTAAATGTCTTAAGATGATGACCAGGACATACTGTCAGTTCATTGTCTCCAGATTTAATACAGATTTTTGTAGCTTACTCCTGTGACCTTCAATTTTTTATTTAATAAAGGTGATTTGAACTTCGGCTTGTTAAGGCATTTCAAAGCTCAATTGTTGAAGGAAATGTTACTTATTGACCTTATCTCATGAGTAGACTTTTACTTATAGAAAAAAAAATACATATACAAGCTACCCCAGGGATGCTGATTCAGCCGATGACATTCTAAGATACTGGTCAAACACATAGGATTGAACCTGGTAGCCATTGCTCTCAGCACTCTACACCAACACTACAATTACACTGTAGGCAGTTTCAACTGTTAAATCCAATGACCTTCAACAGCGACCAAAGTCATTTATTTTCATAAAAAATAATAGTATTTCACCTCATACTGTTGGCTGATTTCACAACTATTTCAAATATGTCGCCTGATAACAAAGACATCTTGATGAATTTTTACATTCTTTTTTTATTATTACAGGTACAATTGTCAAGGTGAACATGAGTCGGATTCTCCTTTGTGAGGCTACAGCCAGCATCATAGGTGCTGGATTCCACATCCTCAGCATCACCCCGGTCGACAGGATGTGATCAACTTATACCAGATACCTCACTGTGTCTGTCGTCAAAGAACATTGTTTAGAAGTGAAGGATATCAGAATTGTCTGAAGTTTGAAGTCAACCAAACCTGAAACACAATTCTTAAATGGTTTTGGCAAATTATAAGATCATATAAGTAAAATTTTTGAAAGAAATATTTCTCTTATTTCTTTGTTGTGATTTTTTACATACCCACCTTCACAGCAGGTTTCTACTGGTGTTCTACCATATGTATGTCCATTTATGTTCAGTGGTTCTTCATCATCAAACCTCATCTGTAGGATATCATGAAAAGTTAAATCAGACCTATAGAATGGAATTCAGTGGTCCCTGGAGTTGTGCCCTAGAGGTCCTTTGTGAGTGATCCCTTGAACTAAGCTCTAGTGGTCTCTTGAATTAAGCCCGCAGTGGTCCCTTGGATTGTGTCCTAGTTGTCCCTTGAGTTGTGCCCTAGTGGTTGATTGAGTTATGCACTTGTGGTCTCTCGAGTTGTGCCCTAGTGGTCCATTGAGTTGTGTCTCAGTGCTAACTTGAATTGTGCCCTAGAGGGCCATTGAGTTGTGTCTCAATGCTCCCTTGAATTGTGCCCTAGTGGTCCATTGAGTTTTGCCCTAGTGGTCCATTGAGTTGTGTCTCAGTGCTCCCTTGAATTGTGCCTTAGTGGTCCATTGAGTTGTGTCTCCGTGCTCCCTTGAATTGTGCCCTAGTGGTCCATTGAATTTTGCCCTAGTGGTCCATTGAGTTGTGTCTCAGTGCTTCCTTGAATTGTGCCCTAGTGGTCCACTGAGTTGTGTCTCAGTGCTTCCTTGAATTGTGCCCTAGTGGTCCATTGAGTTGTGCCCTAGTGGTCCATTGAGTAGTGCCTTATTGGTCCATTGAGTTTTGCCCTAGTGGTCCATTGAGTTGTGTCTCAGTGCCTTCTTGAATTGGGCCCTATTGGTCCATTGAGTTTTGCCCTAGTGGTCCATTGAGTTGTGTCTCAGTGCTCCCTTGAATTGTGCCTTAGTGGTCCATTGAGTTGAATCTCAGTGCTCCCTTGAATTGTGCCCTAGTGGTCCATTGAGTTTTGCCCTAGTGGTCCATTAAGTTGTGTCTCAGTGCTTCCTTGAATTGTGCCCTAGTGGTCCATTGAGTTGTGCCCTAGTGGTCCATTTAGTAGTGCCTTATTGGTCCATTGAGTTTTGCCCTAGTGGTCCATTGAGTTGTATCTCAGTGCCTTCTTGAATTGGGCCCTATTGGTCCATTGAGTTGTGCCCTAGTGGTCCATTGAGTAGTGCCTTATTGGTCCATTGAGTTTTGCCCTAGTGGTCCATTGAGTTGTGTCTCAGTGCCTTCTTGAATTGGGCCCTATTGGTCCATTGAGTTTTGCCCTAGTGGTCCATTGATTTGTGTCTCAGTGCTTCCTTGAATTATGCCCTAGTGGTCCATTGAGTTTTGCCCTAGTGGTCCATTGAGTTTTGCCTTATTGGTCCATTGAGTTATACCCTAGTGGTCCATTGTGTTGTGCCCTAGTGGTCCATTGAGTTTTGCCCTAGTCCATTGAGTTGTGCCTTATTGGTCCATTGAGATTTGCCCTAGTGGTCCATTGAGGTGTGCCCTAGTGGTCCATTGAATTGTGCCCTAGTGGTCCATTGAGTTGTGCCCTAGTGGTCCATTGAATAGTGCCTTATTGGTCCATTGAGTTTTGCCCTAGTGGCCCATTGAGTTTTGCCCTAGTGGTCCATTGAGTTATACCCTAGTTGCAGGTTTCCATTGTTTATTGTTTATTTCTTACCTGTCAATACCATATACAATAGAGAGGAAAGCAGAAAAAGGAGAGACAAAATCCAAATCTAACTGATAAAGAACCATTAGAGATGATGCAGTGATGGACACCAGGTCCCTGTGGGACTCTTGTTATTATACAAAATGATCTCTGTGACAATTCTGGAAGAATGCCAAGAAAACTGTTATCTTGAATAATCCACATAAAATTTTAACAGGTGGAAATTTAGTTATAAATCATCACAATGACAATGATGGAGATTACCTCCTATAACTACTTCTCACTACATAACACTTGTCTAAATGTAATGTGTTCAATAAGAATTCAAAAGATTTGTCAAATATTATATAAAATTGTCATTAACAGCTTTTATGCCAAGAAGGTCTGCAACTAGCTGTTCCAAAAATGTGAGAGACTTGACTGTACCCAGACTGTGACAGAATTTACTGTACCCAAACTATGACAGACTTGTCTAAATACCCTAACAATGACAGACTTGTCTAAATACCCAAACAATGACAGGCTAGGCTCAATACCCAAACAATGACAGACTTGACTCAATACCCAAACTATCACATACTAGACTCAATACCAAAACTATTACAGACTAGACTCAATACCCAAACTATGACAGACCTGGCTGAATACCCAAACTATTACAGACTAGACTCAATACCCAAAATATGACAGACTTGGCTCAGTACCCAAACTATAACAGGCTAGGCTCAATACCCTAACAATGACAGGCTAGGCTCAATACCCAAACTATGACAGACTAGACTCAATACCCAAACTATGACAGACCTAGCTCAATACCCAAACTATGACAGACTAGGCTCAATACCCAAACTATGACAGGCTAGGCTCAATACCCAAACAATGACAGACTTGACTCAATACCCAAACTATGATAGACTTGACTCAATACCCAAACTATAACAGGCTAGACTCAATACCCAAACTATGACAGACTACGCTCAATACCCAAACTCTCACATACTAGACTCAATACCCAAACTATCACATACTAGGCTCAATATCCAAACTATCACAGACTTGACTCAATACCCAAATGGTTACAAGCTCAGCTATACCAAAACTGTTACAAATTCAGCTATACCCAAACTGTTACAAACTCGGCTATACCCAAACTGTTACAAACTCGGCTATACCCAAACTGTTACAAACTCAGCTATACCCAAACTGTTACAAACTCGGCTATACCCAAACTGTTACAAACTCGGCTATACCAAAACTGTTACAAACTCAGCTATACCCAAACTGTTACAAACTCAGCTATACCCAAACTGTTACAAACTCGGCTATACCCAAACTGTTACAAACTCGGCTATACCAAAACTGTTACAAACTCAGCTATACCAAAACTGTTACAAACTCAGCTATACCCAAACTGTTACAAACTCGGCTATACCAAAACTGTTACAAACTCAGCTATACCCAAACTGTTACAAACTCAGCTATACCAAAACTGTTACAAACTCGGCTATACCAAAACTGTTACAAACTCAGCTATACCCAAACTGTTACAAACTCAGCTATACCCAAACTGTTACAAACTCAGCTATACCAAAACTGTTACAAACTCGGCTATACCAAAACTGTTACAAACTCAGCTATACCAAAACTGTTACAAACTCAGCTATACCAAAACTGTTACAAACTCAGCTATACCAAAACTGTTACAAACTCGGCTATACCAAAACTGTTACAAACTCGGCTATACCAAAACTGTTACAAACTCAGCTATACCAAAACTGTTACAAATTCAGCTATACCCAAACTGTTACAAACTCGGCTATACCCAAACTGTTACAAACTCGGCTATACCAAAACTGTTACAAACTCAGCTATACCCAAACTGTGATGGACTGTGCTATACCCAACTTGTTACAAACTCAGCTATACCCAAAATGTGATGGACTTGTTTTTTTAGCAGACAGGCACAATACTCAAACTGTGGCACTCATTCTTCTATACTTAAGACTAGCATAACTCTACTAAATCTGTGACAGATTTTGCCCTTTCAGATGAGTGACAGATTTGACTTTTAAATTACCCAAACTGTGGCAGACCTGGCTGTAGGCAATCTGTAGCAGATTCTATTGTACCAAACTGTGACGACAAACTTTATTATGCCCAAACTGTGAGAGATTCAGTTGTACCCAACCCTTACCCATATTTCAACATATTGCCTCAGAACCCAAACTATTACATATTGTAGCCATATTGTAAGCCACTAGACTGTACCCATACTGTGAGAGACCTGACTGTACCCATACTGTTACAGATATGACTGTACCTATACTGTAACAGACCCGACTGTACTCATACTGTTACAGACCTGACTGTACCCATACTGTGAGAGACCTGACTGTACCCATACTGTTACAGACCTGACTGTACCCATACTGTTACAGCCTTGACTGTACCCATACTGTTACAGACCTGACTGTACCCATACTGTGAGAGACCTGACTGTACCCATACTGTTACAGACCTGACTGTACCCATACTGTTACAGCCTTGACTGTACCCATGCTGTTACAGACCAGACTGTACCCATACTGTTACAGACCTGACTGTACCCTACTGTTACAGACCTGACTGTACCCATACTGTTACAGCCTTGACTGTACCCATACTGTTACAGACCTGACTGTACCCATACTGTAGGAGACCTGACTGTTCATATACTGTTACAGCCTTGACTGTACCCATACTGTTACAGACCTGACTGTACCCATGCTGTTACAGACCCGACTGTACCCTACTGTTACAACCTTGACTGTACCCATACTGTGAGAGACCTGACTGTACCCATACTGTTACAACTTTGACTGTACCCATACTGTGAGAGACCTGACTGTACCCATACTGTTACAGCCTTGACTGTACCCATACTGTTACAGACCTGACTGTACCCATACTGTTACAGATCTGACTGTACCCATACTGTGAGAGACCTCACTGTACCCATACTGTGTGAGACCTCACTGTACCCATACTGTTACAGTCTTTAAATAACAAAGACTGATACCCATTGATAACCTTTAAATAACCAAGACTGATACCCATTGATAACCTTTAAATAACCAAGACTGATACCCATTGATAACCTTTAAATAACCAAGACTGATACCCATTGATAACCTTTAAATAACCAAGACTGATACCCATTGATAACCTTTAAATAACCAAGACTGATACCCATTGATAACCTTTAAATAACCAAGACTGATACCCATTGATAACCTTTAAATAACCAAGACTGATACCCATTGATAACCTTTAAATAACAAAGACTGATACCCATTGATAACCTTTAAATAACCAAGACTGATACCCATTGATAACCTTTAAA